CTACGAAAATTTGACAAATTGATTTGATCATTATAATATCTGAAGATCCAAATATTAACTAAATAAGCAAAACACTAATATCAGTATGAGACAATGATTTTAGCAGCGCTACTGAACCGAGAGAAAGATTCTCTAGATGTCCAACCTCAAGATAGGTAAAATGGCTTTCTTCAGGATGAATAGTGTACCAAAAAACCGTGACACTGTGGATCAGTATTAAAATCAGTTAAATGGAACTTATTGTTATATATTAAGTTTCTTGATTACGAAAAAAACAACTGACAGCGTAGATCGGAGGACATTGTGGAATCTAATTAAATATAATGGAGTACCTGAAAAGATTGTACGACAATCCTATAAAGCGCTGAATTGGAAACTCGTGGATGGGGGCAGCTCACAAATGTGACGCAAGTGAATTCTTATGTCCGACAACTCTGGCTACCTTCGTCATTCCTATTGCTTCTGAAGAGCTAAACATATCAATAGAGGCATGGAATACAGTGGACACTTAGAAAATAACAGGCCGAACCGAAATTCGCAGATTACTTGATCCTTCTACCCTACAAACAGCAACTAAATATAGGCGAATAAAGCCAGGGTCCCAAGGGCCTCCAGAGAAGTAGAACTTATGACCTACAATTAAACACAGCGGGCAGTAACTAAAGCACACTTGATGACGAAGCTCTGGATAAGATGGAAGTCTTCCTTTTTCATGTACAGCACCAGTGATAAACATGAAAGATATCATGATACGAATTGGGAAAGCAAGGACAACATTCCTTGCAATTGAAGAACGTCTGGAATTCAAAAGAACTATCGGTCAACATCAGGGTTAGATTCCTTAACACTAACGTTAAAACAGTTCTACGTTTTGGGAATGACGCTTAGATAACTATCACGACCGTTACCAAGGAGGTACAAGTAATATTAAACATCCTCTAGTGCAAGATACTCCGGGTCCATTAAGCAGGGGCTCTCAGCAGTAAACTACTATGTCATAAAATAAACTATCTTACAGTCGATGAGGGAATTAAAAAATACTCTGGAGGTGATTAGGTCAAAGTTTACGGATATGATTGAAAGGCAAGAGCGAATTCGGAATAGTTATGGTATAATGGAAAGAGGCAGACCAAAGAACAAATTGAGCTGTTGGTGGGATGCAGACTTCAATATCGTAAACAGCACTTTGGAATAAGTTGGAAAAAGCTCTCCTGATAGAGTTGATTGAAGATCTCTGGTCTATGGCCTATACTATCCAAAGGGTAACGTGCTAAATCAAGTAAACAAGAAATATCATCTAAGAAGCCCTCACTAAATGGTTAATTATTGGTATATCGATAGAATTAGTTTAACACAAATGATAACATAATAGGACTAATCTACTAACACTTTGAGTCAATATTGATGAGACACATGATTATGATGTTTGTCCTATACTTGTTGTTAATGTCCCGTGTTTTTTAGGCAATTTGTTCTACTTTAATGCACAAAGAGTTTCATTGATCACTTATTAATGTTGACGTAAAGTTTACCAAACCAAACCAATTCAATATTTATATCTACGTAATTGCGTGTAATTAAAATGTTTGCAAATCAACACACAGAGTTAGGACAGTTGAAAGTGGGCGAACATGAAAAATCCCTTAATGTTTGGTTGAAAGACATTAAAACTGATGTAAGAGTTCCCAAACATCTGACAATATTTCTGAAAGAAAATTTTAAGTGATATTAATTTAGATTTTTTCATAATGATTTTCAGAAACAGTATCTGAAGTTGTCGATCTGAAAATATACTACTCACAAGTAATACAGTTGTTTTAATGAAAATGGTTGTGCATTGCATCACCCAGTTGGTCTAATTATTTGTAGTATGTATTGTGATAAAACAACCCCTAAAAGTGCTACACGATTCAAGTATTTACACGTGCAGCATGGCGATGGGTTGGGACAAATTTATTGTAGTCTTGTGAAATGGAACGTTCATTTTGCGAAGCAAATATGTCCGTCTTTTTTACAGAATGGAGTTGCTAACGCCACATCCAATCCTACTTTATTAGAACTTGTGACCGTCAGTAATCCTAAAAGGACTGTAGTTGTAGTTACAGTGTTATGTGCCAGATAAAATTTATTAAGTTTGCCTAAGATAAATGACAGATAAATATCCCACTAAGGAAAAGTTCAATGAAGAATCTTACGAAAACCTAGTGAGAAACTATCTTAGCCTGTCTAAGTTGAAACTAAACAGTAAAGTATTTTTTTATTCCAATTTCCATATACGTCAACCCTGGCAAAATTAGTACAGACGTGTAATATCAAATTAGTAGAAGGAAATAGAAATCTCTTCTGATGAAAATCTGGTTAATATTACCAATCAACATTAAATACAGAAACAAATAAGTGTTTGACAATAACATCTTGTAAACCGATATAAACTAAGTGAAAAGCTTGTAAATATGCTGTTAGGTAAATCTGCACTTAAATTAATATTAGTTTTGAGAAATCAAGTTAATTCAAGTAAAAGGCAATTAAAAAAACCTAGAAAAATAACTTTACAAATTAGAAGCTATTGAAGAATTATGGTAACGATTATTCTATATAGAGAAAATTGCAATCTAGTGAATTGAAATCAGCCTTAACTATTTGTTCGTCTAATCATATAATAAAATTAACACCTGTATTCAGGATTTATCAACTGTTTATAAGTTATTCATAAACACAGTCGGTAACAACAGCGGATATAACGGAATTGCACTGTCATTATTCTATATCGTGCAGACCGTTAAATTTGAATTGGCTTCTAGGAGCGCCTCGAATGATAGAGCTGTTTTCCCTTCATTTAGCAAGCTGTAGTTTTGATGAATAAGGAAATGCTCGACCAGGCTAATCTTTGCTATTATCATACTGGTTGTATTCTCTACTAGTTCTCTGTCTCATTATACGCTTATAAAAGCATTGTTGTTACTAATACACATAAAAATGCCGTATTATAATTTCCGAGAATCGAAAGGTTTGCTAATATAGAAACTTTGGTTAATTTTAGTTGTGATCCTAAAATTGAGCGACTTATAATGTGACCTTGAACAAACGTGAGTCGTCAGAAGGCAGCAGATACGACTGAATAATAGATTAAGTCGAATAGTATATTGTTTTTACATGATTAATTAACTTTTCTAAGTTTGTAATAGGTTCTTGACCGTCAGACCTTTTTGTCAATTTATATATATACTAACCCATGATTCAAATCATAAACTGTACTATTGATCCTATTCGAACTCTAACAAAAATAGTAGAGAAATATCACCTTATCCAGAATTTTTTTCGCACTCGCTCACAATCATCATTTCCATATTTACAGGCGAATATTGTCCTCAGGAATTCAACGTGAATTGAATTACTTAATGTGTTCTCAACTAGGATTTCTTCACTATAAGGCCGACATTCTGATATGATATCGTTCGATAATGTTCATCCTAGTTTAACCTTGGAATCGTTTCTTCGACCCTAATCGGCTTGGTGTTATAATTAAATATAACCGAACCACGTTCTCTTCTCTTTGATTGCGATTTTGGGAGGAATATTAAAGTTTCGCTGTCGTTATGTAGTAGTAGCAAGAACTGAAGGGATGAACTTGACCCATTTCTAATAAGATGGAAGTAAGACAATAAGAATTTCAAATCACGAAATGACTGTTAGATATTGGAAACTAGGGAGCATCATATAACTCTTCAGTCTTAATTTGGGACTCGTTGGCGGTGTCCACTCGTGATTTCTCCAGACGTTCGGGGTCCGATGCAAGCGCTTAGAATTCTGACCACTAATTTGGTGTACGGTGGTTGACATTCCTAACAATCATCAACATATAGAATGAAGATCAACTTAGCGTTATACACACAAGTGGATTCCTATAGCATATACACGAATTCGGAGCTTTTTTATTAAAAAGATAACCTAAAAATTAATGTTGTAATGATATCATTGACATCACTTAACAGGAATGCCTTAACAACACACTTGTACTCAAATTCTCATTCACACATTCGACTATGACCTACATTTCTTCTCCGAGTGATAATGGTTGCATCTTTATGCCTAAACTTAGACAAATGAAACGGGAACCAACCAAATCTTTGGGATTTAGTTGCACAAATTAATAAGATATAATTTCACCATAATATATATATATGATGGAGAATAACCGTAAGAACCATTTGTGGACATTCTGGTACATATCGACATACACACCTAAGTGTCATAAGTTTGACTGAATTAACATGCAATCATTCATTTATGAACACCGTAGAACGTGACAGAAGTAAATACCGGTCCTCAAATTACATCAAAACAGGATAGAAATTAAAAAAAGTCTAAGTAAAGATATGTATGATGATAGAAAAGTAAGAAACAGTAAAAGGAACCAAACACAGGGTTTAGAGGGCTTCAAGTATTCTTCTACGCCAGACTGATACCATAAATAGGTTCGGCTATCTCGAACCTGTTACCAACTTACTCAAACACTAATGAATACAACGTACTTGAAGAAGTGGTATTGTGATTAGACAACTGGGCATACAATTAATGGGCTACAAGTTTGAATCTTGTGCCATTTATTTCAGTTTGGGAAGCCTCGTAGTATCGTCAGCTTTTATACAAAGCGTGGTTAAAACCCTTCATAAAATCCTGTACCTTGCAGATGAGTTACATGGGATATTGAGGTAGGAGGTGGTTATATATGGGTAGCGTAGGCTTTAACTATTTAGGTTGGTGAAGGTTTAAGGTTGGGTCGAAACCAAATAGGGTATGTTGTGGAACACGTTAAAAATAATCTAATTCTGTTTGGGTACAATTTATACTTTTGAGTAATCCATGCCGAAATATTATAGTTATTTTATCACTAACGATATACCCATACCACAGAATTTAAACATACGAAAATACTTTAAAATTTTTCGGCTATATACAATATCATGAAGACACCATATGCAGTAAAATAAAAGTCAGAATAAGAATTGATTTCTTTTATACAATATCGCAATAATGAAATTTAACTGGCATTACACAAATTTAGAGTTGAAGTGAGAATACAAACTATTAAAGATATCCTACTACTTAGGGTATTTATACAGTAAATAAAAGCATATTACAACTAGAAACTATCGGCGAGATCATTTAGGTTGTTCTACATCAGTAAAAGCTGTTTTTAACATAGATTGAATTGTAGTCAATTTTTCTCTTGGTTTATCGAGTATTTGACCGGCTAATTTTTCCGCTTCATCAATACGTTCCCAATTTTTAAATTTTACAACATGTATATCTACATTAATTGAAGAAAAAACAATAATCACACATTCAGAATTTCGTTAAACTGTGACCGAATAAATTATATTCTACAAATTATTAAACCTAGGTTTGTGCAACTAGCTTTAAGGAATACATTTTTTATTAGTGAGGAATAATACTACTGTGGTGGTACCCTCAGATTTAAATCAACAGCTTGCAGGGTCGAATTAGACACCATCAAATTCAGTTTGGACATAAAAAACTGCCTACCCTCACACAAGAAATGAGTAATTGGAAGTCGAGCAAACAAAATTGTAGATAGTTAACAGATTTTCTTAAATAATAGAAAACACATTTTTCCGTCATAGATCTTAATTTAGGACAAAATAATTCCAATTCTTATGATTTCTAAGCATAACCATACTGTAGGGTGACACAATTCATAATCTTTATTTCCTTCATTGATAATTTTAACGGATGAGTATAGGTCCGTAAAGATTCAGTCGTAACTTTCCATTATATTCTTTACAAAAAATAAAACAAATTCAAAATAAGTAATTTTTGTCCTGATTATATATTCATACTTTAAATTTCTCATTCATTCATCACTATTTCTTTGAAGTAATAAGTCCCTTGTGATAAATTTCGATAATGTAATGAGAAGACGAAGATTATCAGAACTATGTGATATGTTGCCCCCAAATGCCCTGGTACGGCTGAGAGTGGGAAAAGTCCGCTCTCCCTCTCGAAATGCTCTCACATGGCCACGCGTATATAGCCTCTGCCAGGGTAGTCCTACTCACTGCCTTCTCGTGGCGGAGGTGTTGTTTACGAAAATGAGAGGACAAAAAGCGAATGTCCAGCGTTTTAACCGGATTCCAAACCAATAGTACACATAGGCTCCAGTATCCTGAAGGAACAAATGGCGTATGAACCAATTGTTGGTCACCGGCTTCCATGGGACTGCATTTCCTTACGATACTCCACTGTTTTGTGGATCAGACCTTCAGGTCGAAGGCTCCGGGTGTGGCCCCCTAAGAAAACCACCTGCTTCGGTTTGGGCACCCGGGCAGTATCACAGCCCTCACACATATCGAATGAGATTTGTGTGGCGCATATGTATTTGGTACCTCCTTGTACCTTTGTATGATGTGATATGTTAGCGCAATACATTTCAAACAATCTGATCACACTTATACTTGTTAAGAACATTTTTACATAAAAATAAAAGGTCAACTAGACTGGAAATGGGGTAAGAGGAGACAAGGATAATAACAAGAGTAATAATAATAATGTGGACACAATTTGGAACCTAATCACTATGGCTAATAAGCCAATATTACCAGGGTGGGTTTAAGGTGAGAACAAACTGTTTTTGAACATACAAATGGATTTGAATTTTCGTATGGCTAAGGCTTCCGTAAACCTTAGTATACACCATTTTATACAACAACATACACCGCTACTTCACTAAATATTTAAGTCAATCAGTGATGACATATTCGCGTGTATACTGGCCAATAAATCACACATTTTTTGCACAAAGCTGTGAAAAAATTATTCGAACGATAAAAAAAACTAAACATGAACTTTGTGACGACTCTTACTAATAACTTATCACTTGTGAAATCCTAATGAGTGTAACGTAAAATCGATCAGAAAGTATATGTAATAGGATATTTGTTTTATGAACCAATTGTATTCACGCATGTGAAATTCATCAAAAAACTATCACGGATCACAAACACGTAGTAATACGATAATTAAGTGAAAAGTGTAGTTACAAATCAATGAGTTTTAAGTGTACAGGAAATTGAAAACATTGACTGCTTAAGTGATTGATAAATGAGTTAGAAGACATAAATTACAACTGCCAACCTGCATGTAAAATCCGGACTGGTCTAGAGAAATAAACTGGAATCCGATTTACGGTAACTAGATCAATGCAACGTTTTAATCTACAAATTTATTAATCGATGACTTTAATTAATGTAGTAATACGAAGAACTTCCTGATCAGGACTTTGTAAAAGTATAGACTCGTAACAGAAGGCTTTACAAACCAAATGCATAGCTTGACATTGATAGTGAGAAAGATCGATACATGTCCAGTACATTTTCCAACCCAATCTGTGGTAACTATATTTTTATGTTGGTTTTCTCGTAGTAAGATATAATTCAAAAGACTAAGTTGAAAGCGAGAATCTCATTTCATCCAATTTAGTTTCAACAGTGGGTAGTTGTATAATCAAATGGAGACTTGGTTACTGAGTACCACTAACGTGAATAATCAGTGTAATAATATAAGCAGTATTAAAATGTCCCAAGTGAGCCTCCTATTAGTCTAAATATGTAATCAATAGGTAAAAAGAAATACAGAGTGAAACATCAAGCTTGATCAATGATACTTGTTAATTTTCTCACATAATATCATGTGTAAAAAACATGATGAAATCGTAAGTATGGTCAAAAGGCAAAAACTAACTTCTTTCGTTAAGGTAACGTTGGACTACAGATAGTCCACGTTTGTTTAATACATCTACATGACCACGTTTTTCAAATTCAGACAAATCTTTAAGAATAGTTTCAGCGGTTTGACGAGCATCTACAGCCGTATCAGCAATTACACCAATTGGACCACGTTTAATCCAACCAGCACAATACATTGGGCTTAAAGAGAAACTATAAGAAATTTGTGGTAGATCAACTACGCGTCCATTGTTATCTTTGCAAAGAATCACTCCATGTTGTTCATCGAATGGCAAATCTGGATCAATACGGACGCCACGGTAGCCAATACTACGCACAACTAAGCCACAAGGTAAAGTTTCTAAGGGTTGAGTATCGTCTATTACACCTTGCTGATGAGGACCGGTCGGACCCTAAGATAAAAATAAAAGATGTAATGTTTTGTCTTGAATCAGAAAAGGCGTCATTTCATTAAATATAAGCAAAACAATTTACCTCCAAATGATCTAAACAATGGAAATTGATCAATGTTTTTTAACCTGGAACGTAAGGCTTATCGGCAAAAATACTAAATTAAGAAATTGAAAAAAAAGCCGACAGATTGTATTATTTAGTGGATATATGCAGATATTGTTAATACATCAGCTGGAGAAACGCTAAAATTTGAGGTGTTGCTAAGTTTCAGGATAAGATGAAACAACTATCTTATGTTTATCTCTTGGTTTTCAATAATTCTGTGTCTAGTGTTACTTCATGACGAAGACAATCTTTGAAGTGGACCAGTCTGCACAAATCAATGGCTACAACAATGATGGCTATGCACCGTCTCTTCAAATTGATTTCAATAGGTAAGCTTTAGATTCTAGGTGGTAAGAAGATGAATATGAATAAAGACCTAGATAGCCTTGATGGTTACGTAAAGCAAAATAGTAAACAACGACCACATCCTTCTAAAATACATAAAATCAGTTAACATTTAGCGACAAGTATTAGGTTTCAAACATACAGTGATGGTCAGTCATAAATCAACCATTATACATTAATAAGTCAGGCTTCTTTTACGGCTGTTAACAATTAAAGACGTCAAACGACGTATGTATCAATGCCCAGTTAAGTATGAAATTTACTGGGGGCCGTATATTCACACTGCTGATAGATACCAACAAGTATAGAACATGGATCTAAATGATTCCTAACGGTCGCATTCAGCAAAGCAATCAGTAATAAGATTTTCCAGGTATTAAAAAAAAACCAGATTTCTAGGAGAGGACAATATGGAGAACTAATTATTTTGTCTAACTTCATTCCTGTTCGGCTCATTCATAGCTTTTTTCGCAGACTTTCTGTCATGAAGCAGTTAGGAAATAATAACGAATTTAATTCATAATCCAGTATGACAAACTGAATTCTGTTTTCATTAATAAGATACTGGATCATAATTTGTGGTGAGAAACAAGTATTCCGTTAACCACAAGAATTCAGTGACTTTTCTTTCAGACGACACCCACTGATAAGTAAGTAGTAATTATGACGTCGAGAGAAACATTTTGGTTTAAGAAGATAGACACAAAGATTTCAAGTTTTTGAAATTATAATATAAGAAATTTTTATTCATTTTCTTATCAAAAACATCGTTCCCGATAACGAAGTTTCAGAGTTTTTAATTACCATTAGATTTATATAGGCTTAGATTGTCAAAATCTGTTTACATACAGTGTGAAAAATTATAAATAATTTAAGCATGTGAATTAAGGAGGATGAGACTAAATTTACGATGAATAACAATAACACTTAAGGAATCTAACGCAAAATCACCGACAACGATTTTATATGTATACTTTCAAGATGGAACATGAGAGAATAAGCAGTTCTAAATATAGAATTCTACAATTCGTGTTAATTTACTAGAATCTATTTTACACTTGGAACTTCGTAGCCCGAACTAAAAGAGTTATATGATATTACATTGAATGCATAAACTTCCACACAATACTCCATATAAGTGTGTATAACTTGATTATGATTTATTTGATTTCATATTGTAGATGCAACTCATGAAGATTGGTGGGAACGTGGCATGAAATAAAGCAATGCTTAGGTGTATTGGAAGACCGTCGCTCAAAAGGAAAGGCTATTTATGCACCACCGTTTTGCATTCTTACGACTGAAATTTAAAACTTTAATAAATGGTGATATGAAATTATCATTTTATATAATACATGGCTCTGCAATCACACCTGAACAGACGAATTATAAGTATATTATAAATCAGTATAAAAATGTCGGTACAAATAACACAAATATTTACTTTTAAATCTCACGGTTACAACACTTACATTTAACTTAACTGTTGCTAATTTTATGTGAGAAACTATGGAACGATTTTTGTCAGAATGATGTTCCCCACAAGAAACAATTTCTTTTGGAAAACGTAAGAACTGTAAGTTACAATGATACACTGGGTATGCTGTATGATTCCTCTTGTGATCGGAAGAATTATGCATTTTTAACAGAAATTCTGTTAAACGACGTCGAGGGCGAGGAAGTTCTGTAAATTAAGTTAGAACGTCAATATATATGCCGTTTTGAAAAAAATTGTTAAAGGTAGGTTTTTGAAATCATATTCAAGGAAATCAAAACTGAGGAACGAACAATAATGGTTTCAACTCAGCTTAAGCTTTTCTTCACTATCAATTACACCTTTCTAGAAACATATTCAGTGACTTTGGATCCTGTGAGAAATTTTATAAGTCGGGTTGTGAGTATTTTTTAGTCATTATTAAGTCTTGGTACTTCTTAGGTCAAATATTTACTTATCGGAGTATTTACAATTATACGATAAAAACTCAATTTGGGGATAACGATTTCTGGAAAGAACAAGTAGAAATGTGGTAAACTAGTTATGCGTAAAATTGCAAGCTAGCCAACCACTATTTGAAATAGATATACACCAAACATTTAGATTTTTGACATAGGTGTTTCTGGTAGTAACGATCCCTTTCTCCAATTTTCCGTACAGTTATCTCTTATTTGAAGGCGGATTGGCGTTTAACGATGAAGTGTGTCTATGGTAAGTGTAGAAACTAAGAAATTAGGGATGATTTGGACATGATTTTATTAATCTTAAATACAAGCACTGCTTCAGGTAAAGTTTGCATTAATACATAGGGCAGGGACTTCATTTTATTGAAAACCTGAGTTACCCTAGGAAGGTTGTTGACTAAAGAAATATATATAGATTAATTTTACGACAGCAAAATGACACATAGTGTAGATGAACCAACTGACTTTCTACCAAAAAATGAATCTACTACGGAACAGTGCACTTTTTTTATCCCAGAGATAAAACTATTGTTAACGGCAGATAACATGAAATTTAATGTATTTCATCACAAATATCTTCATAGAGCAACTTTAATATGGCAAAGTTATCAAATTAAGCTAGATGATAAGTTTAGTGTCTAAACATGGAGCACCTTCATACAGCAACGTTCAACCGGTAAACCCATAGCCCCGATAAGACGTAATTATACACGAACATTCGAGGCTAATCTGATAGATAGAATTTCCTATTTATCAGTATGGGGTTGTGAAGATTGTCGAGTCTTTGATCGTTATCATGAATCGATCAATGTTAGACCACCATTGGAAACCTGTTTATGTTATTCTTCACGAAAAACTAGGTATATTTTCTCTTAGATAATTGATGAAGCCAACCAAATAAATAAAATATCAGTATTTCCAAACTTAACTGCATAATAAATAGTACTGTTGGTAAGTATTACCTGATAACAACTCTTGAATTTGATCAGATGTCCCCATAGTTACAGAGAATACATCCTTTGGTAGTAAGTTTATGAAACATTTAGACTGAGATGAAGTTATATGAAGTTTTGAGAGTTCGCGAATTTCTTTTAGAGTAAACGCCACATGTAAAGGACCTCTTCGACCAATTAAGATGACATTCTTAACTTTACTTTTTGATAGACAATCAATCACAGGCTCTGGTATATCGGTAGACTAAATGTAAATCCATAAATTGCAATTTAATTACCCTTAATCGATCAACTGGAGAAAGAAGAATCCGCGCAACATCAACTGCTACATTCCCCATACCAATAATAGCAACTGTTTCACAGCTGAGATCAGGAGAAAACTTATTAAACGTAAATTTTTTAAAATGCTGTTTACATTGACGTTGCTGGGTGCACCGTTATACCATCCTACTAAATCTTTAGCAGACAAAACACCTGGTAAATCCTTTATCTGTCAGATATCTTAAATGAATATACCTCTCCAGGAATATCCAAACGCCGATCAACAGCAGTACCATAAGCCTTGTAAAACAGAAAATTTATCATACTATGAAAATAAAAGCAAACCCAAATAATGACTGAATAAGCTTCTTGTAATTCTCTCAGTCTAATATCTCTTCCAATGCAAACATTGCCCAAGAAAGAAAATCGTGTATTCTTAGCAACATCTGTAAAAGTATTTATCACATTCTTGTATTAAATAACAGTAAAATAAAAATTAGCCGACAATACTTTTACTTCAGGATGATCTGGAGCAACACCATAACGGACTAGACCAAAAGGCGAAGGAAGTTTTTCAAACATATCGATATGCACACCTGGATGGTTCTACACTTGTTCGTTAGTTAACTTGATCAATTGAATAATTACTTTTAGTAAGGTCTGAGCAGTATAAAATGCTGATGGGCCACTACCAATGATACAAATTTGAATTTGACTTGAAAATTGTCTTTTTAATAGACGAAAAGGAGACTTAATGGCTGAATTAACTTGTTTTAAAGTTCTGTAAGATAAAGGTTTATATTTACTTAGCCTCATTGAGAAAAAACTGAATTGATTATGAGGAGCGGCCTTCTTTTGTTAACAAGAAATGAATATATCGACTGTACTTATCATGTAGTCCATCTGAAATAAGTAGGAAAAACTCAACAAATTACACAATTAAAGCACAGCCCGTTTATAATGTAAAAATATCTGTTGAAATTTCGGTAAAAGTGAAGATGCTATTATTAGCTTCAACCTCACTATAGTGCATGAGGCTTTTGCTAATCTCTTCTTCCCTGTTCCGCTAACAAGATTAAGAAGTTTAGTTGTGAAAAAGCCTTGTTGATTAAGACAGTAGAAATTCAAAAATGCATTTAAGATTACCCATAATATGTCGATTACAATTATTATGATTTGGGAACTGAGCAGTTTTGAATGAACACAAATCATAGTGAAAGTCTATGAACAGAATTCACACTAAATAAATTGGTGCGAAGAAAACTCATTTTAAATAGGTTTTGACTTTCTTCCTCCCAAGTTGTTTGAAGATCCCATACCCTCAAAATTCACCTAATAGAGTTGAGTAACCAGGATGTATAGCTAACTCTCACAATGTATGGATTATGGTCTAGTACATGAAAGTGCAAGTAGTTACTGAGTTACATAGCCATTCAACTGTCGGAAGACAGAGGGAAATCCTTAAAACTTTTATCATGAGTTTTCCACCTAACAAGTACAAAGAACTTCAGAAATATGAAGTTTGATTTCAGGTTGTTAAGATAGTTGAGCACATTGAGCGCTTCGCATCTCTAATAAATTACATCAGTCTCGATCACAAAATAAATTTCAGCATGAATACACAATTCTAAGTAACCGATATCAACTTACATTACCTTCATTGTTGGAAAAACTGAATACCTTTATTATTTTTGAGGAACAGTGGAACAACATTGTAAATGAAACTGAGTGTGTAGAGTGGGATCTGAACTTGGAACTTAATGATTGAAATTCAAGTCTTCTGAGTGATAACCCAATTCACCTGAAAAGGCTAAGTATATATAAGAACAGTATGTAGGATTCTTGAAGTTCAGTAAGAATCGATGATCTTTGGTAAACGCATTGGGCTATAAAAACATAGGGGGTTGAGGAGGTGATGAGCTTTAATGGAATAGACTAATGAGATTGAGAACTTATATGAACTGAGATTATTTTATCGGAAAACCTCGGACTAAGATGAATTATTAATTTAAAAAGTTAATAACAGTTAAATAGCAGGGAGAAACTGTTAACGTAGTGAATGCATTTCACGAGAGAATCTGGTTTTAGACTGAGTAATCTCACCTAAATTAAATTTCAACGACACATATGAGTAGCTTTCTCCTTATTAATGGATTGTCCTAATGATTGGTGGATATTAATTCACTTCTTTATACTTTAGAAAATCCACTGATTTTATTCTTTAGGCCAGTTTTAACCTACTTTAATTTCTACAAGTGAAAATTTGAATCGACGAACTAATATGCTTAGAGCTTAAGTTTGTCAAGGTACACTTATAAAATATAATCATACGAAATTCTTTGTTTAACACTTATGATTTAAATGGCCATAAAATAGACAACTTATCCATCATTTTTGAAGTCTTGTGACACTTAGATCTTAACTAGTTTCTAAGGTACATATATACAATGCTGCTGATGCTTAGAAATCATTCTTGAAGATGTTAATAGTACTTCAGTACGTACTGGACTAATTCCAAGTTTTAGTATTTAGCAAGACCATATTGATTTTAAAATGGTTGTTGATCCGTGTTGTGATTCAATATAAAAACGAAGTGGATTTTAGATCTGTCATCAATCCACAAAAGATCGTATATGAATAGTGATACTATTTTAAAACTTCTAAAAAGATATGACTGAAGATTATCCTATATAATTTTAGTGGTTATTTTCGTGCTCCTTACAGCACACCGACGCCTAAATTCGAAAACTTACAAAGGGATCGTCAGACTAAGTAGCCAAAACGGATATCTGATATGGACAAATGAGTGATGGAATACTGTTTATAGCTGGACCAGCTCATTTAAGCCATTAAAACAGATGGTTTGTGGCTCAGTGTAAACATGTGAAATTCGGAAACAAATCATGAACTTCTAAAGGTCAAATTGATAGATTGGATTAAGCGTAACTAACCAAGGTAGATACATCATTGAGGATTATGACATAAGCTACAACAAGCGTGAAAACGAGAACACCATTAGCTACGTTACAGTTAATATTTTTGATTTAGCATTCAACGACAGTTGATTTTTTCAATGTAAACGCAGCCAAAATTCCCATCTTTACTCTTAATTTATTGTAGTTTGCTTTCCAATTCTAGTAGTGTCAACAATTCAGAAATTCTACTCTTATGTAAGGGATCATTTTAACCGGATCAGCTTTAATATTCAAAAGTCGACAAAACAAAAGTATAGTATTCAGCAGAAGAAATCCTAGCAATGGCGGACTGACAAAAAAGCTATCGATTCAACGTACTACGGAAACTTTGGATTAAAGTTTTACTTAAATGTAGGGCTAACCTGGAAAATACAAATAATTGTCTCTATGTACCTTTTTGTAGTAATAAACGGTAAGCACGTAAGTAAAGAGAAGTAACAAACAATTAATACGTTCTTTGAAGTGAGCTTTTAGTCATGTTTATATGGAGCTATTATCTGTGTAACTGTACAGTAAGCCTGACTAATTAAAATATACTTTCCGAATGAACTTAAAACAACCACAACGAGTAGTCAATCAGTTCCTGACTAATCGGGAAAGACCTTATATGTGGATAATTTATAGAAAATTCAACAGCAATATTGCAAAGTGTCAACCGATGTTATCTAATTAATAAGCCTATTGATTTTTTCTTACGGTTACTCCACCCATAACGATAAACTCGTCCCAGTAGATACCGTCTATCTTCTCGAACCCTTTTAAGGGCCTAAACGGACTTCCAAGATTCCTCATATTATTCTTAGTTAGGCTAAGAGTTGGAGTTTTTTGGAGTCTTTTGGTCCGAAAAGAATAGGAGGCTAAGTGGCCTTTGTTAGTCCTGGCAATGGTGATCTCTCAGTTGATCAAACTTTATTTTGAAAGCGTCGAACACGTGTTGAGGTAATGAATTCCACTCCTTGATGATTCCATGGGAAAGTCGATAGTCAACTGACAAGTAATTTGTTCTGGGCTTGTGAATTTTTTTAATGTCCTCGTAAATTCTGTTTTGAAAGACAACAAAAATGAGGGCATATCAGATGCAAATTTACCATTCAGTAATTTGAAAGCTGTGATCGATTCGCCTCTGGTTCTTTTATATGATAATGTAAGTAGGCTTATTTGAACCAATCGAGCATCATACGGGAGATTTGCTATTCCGGGAGTCAGCTTAGTTGCAGTTCTTCGAGCCTCTTCCAGGAGCTCACTGTCTGCTTTTAGGCAAGGGATAGCTGCTTGTATGCAGTACTCGAGTTTATTACGAACGAATACTGTATACGAAGTCAAAAGGGTTTTAGTATCGACACGGCTGAAGGTCCCACGTATTGACCATAAGATTCCCTGGCTATCGCATGGCAGTGTGCGGTAGTTTTTAAGTTTTCGCTAACGATGACTTTCAAGTTAATGTGTCTGGACGACAGATAGCTCACTGTTATCCATCGTGTATGTATCGACCACCGACAAATTTTAGACCATTCAGATAATTTCTCCAGGTCATTTTGAAACGCCGAACTATCACCTTTACTTCTTATCCCTCCATATCTTGACATCGTCAGCATATAACAAGACCGATGATGAGAGACTAGGAAGGCCATTTCATAAAGGAGGGACAACACTGGTCCCAAAACTATACAATGAAGCACTCCACTAAGCTCAGTTTCCCAGCTAGACAATTTCGAGTTCATCCGTACTCTTTGTTGACGTCCAACTAGGAAGTCTCTTATCTATATAAATAAAAAGCCTCTAACTCCGATATAACTTGACTTATATGACAGCCAGTTGTGAGAAACTTTGCCAAAAGCCTTGCTAAAGTCAATGTAAGCTACGTTTATGAGTAAATTTCGGTATTTAAGAGCGTACCAACATTCACAGGCTACTAATAAGTTAGTGGAACATGAATTACCTGTTCTAAAGTCATGTCGCTTATCAGAAAGAATCCGGTTTTCGTCGAGGTACTTAAACAATTCCTTCTGAATAATCTTCTCTAAAATTTTAACAGCCACGCTGGTTAGGCTTATAGGTCAATAATCCTCAGGTTTATGTCTTGTACCTGTTTTGAAAAAAACACTTACTATGGCATTCTTCCAGCCTTTTGGTAATCCACCCTGTGATACAGATAGATTAAAACATGTGCTTAAGGGATTCGCGAAAAAATATTCTTTATCAAGCTTTTCTTCTTATAAGCTTGTAGACTTGCGGAGGGTCGAGGCATAAATATTTCGAGCTTCCCAATATTGAGATTGTCTTGTCAGCAGCGATATTTTTCCCCGCTTATAGAGAAGGGTGCAAATCTCTTTACTGAACCACGGTGGAGTTTCTCAGACCCCTTGGTGTAGTCCAAGGGATATGTGGTGCAGTGACTTTTATGTACGAATTTCTGGATGCGTTCCAAGCCGTTTCACTGGAAGACTTTGGTCTTAATGACCGGGCTGGTCAACGAGTTTCTATTCGAAATAATTTTATGACGGTTCAGTCTTCAGATTTTTCAAGTCTACCGTAGGTGCATTAAAGTTTCCTACGATTAAACACCGATCACTTGATGACCAAGAGCTGAAACCGTCTAACAAGACTTTACTCACTTAAGTTAGGACTTCGGTAGACTAAAAACAATCAGCGGCTCTTCCCTTTTGTATTTCAAGTGGCAATTAACTAATAAGCACGTCCCACTTCTATAGAATATGTTATCAATAACGACAGATGGGGTAGTATTTCGAATGAATGGAGCTACTACTAGTCCCCTACTGTCTATAGACTGCAGCAGCCAAGTTTCTGACTTGGTAGAGTCGATCTGTAGCTCCGGACATTTGCATGACAGATTTGAAGACCATTTAAATGGCTCCATAATGCACCCAGTGGCTTCAGAGCCTCACCACCCGAAAATTTACAATTTTAAGGTCATTCTTGCCACCATCTAACCCTAGTTTTACTTTTTTTTCAACTCATCTTTTTATATGGTCCGCGAGCAGCAATTCTTTGCGGACAAAAATCCTGACCCCTTTAGTTTATGTTCATTCCATTCATTAAGACCACCTCTAATCCAATGTCCTTTTCAGGTACCTCCAGAACAACCCTTCCACGGTGTGGGCATCCGGGAAGTGATAACCGCTCTCATACTTCTAACAGCACTCAAGACCACCGTAGTATCAAGTTCCTTTCACTAATACTTTTAGAAGCCTGGTTTAATTGCTTCAAGTCCATTTGGCTACCCAGTCTATAAACCCTTAATAAGATGACTTCGGAGATATCCTGAGGCATTAGCTAGTTTAGTACGTATTTTACCAACTCAATGTTATGCTCAAAACGAGTTCTGAGCTTTCACTTTCCTTGACTCTATTGAAGACAACTGACCTTTCACTATGATCAGTCTTCAATTTCTCAGCTGCTATTTCAGGGACAAACTTTTCTTTAGCAACATTAAGTCGTTTTTTATGATTGATCTTTACCCATTCATCTACATTCATTGGAGTAGCAATTACAGTCGTGTTACACATACAGTAGTATCCTGGATAACTGTCGATAACTTAGGTAGTTAGGTTGTTGTTTTTCTCGCTAGAAATAGACCTAGCCTTGCGATTGGGTCTTCAGGTGTTTTTTGTCCGCTACCATTCGGAGGGCGAGGAGCAGAAGAAACTTCCTTTTTTGAGCTTTTATTTCTAACAGACCTCTTTGAATTCTATCCTCCCTCCTTCAGTCCGCGTAAGTTAATCGACTCTGAATTTATTTAAGGTAACTTTACATCAATTTGTATGTCGACCGAGAGAGTACCATTTAATGTCTCAACTACGCTTGTTAATACTCCT